CGCTGTCGCATGCGGAAGACCAGAGTGGCATTCTCAAGTGAGGAGAACTTAATTTAAAAGTATCTCGGTCTTTCTGCTGAAAAATTGTATACCTCTCAGCTTCGGTTGGCCCTAACAGTAACAGGCAGGTTCAAAGCCAGTCGTCTAAATATTCTAAACAGCGTCGATGGGGATGTAAACCCCCCCCCCACTTAATTCTATTCTTCCATTTTAATTCTTACAGTGTTTATGAAAGGAAAGTGTGTTAAAGACAGAACACACCATGACCCTCCCACTTGTTGACACTTTCTCTCTTCAAGTAACACAGCAGTAGTGCAAGGTATAAGTATAAGCACCAAGTACACACTTCAAAATAGACATATATACAAATACATGCATCATATGTATACTCATGGAACACAAGGGAGATCAGATTATCAATCATAATGAAATCGTAAAATAACATCATCAGTTACATGCAATTATATTACGCAGTGCTTACATATATTACGCAGTGCTTATCTACTTGTAAGTGCTTTGTAGTTACCCCCCCAGTAAATTCAAACATGTTTTGCTCTTTGACAGAAATCCCTGAAGAAGAAATGCGTTCAGTTTCTGCTCAGCCTCAACTGGCCACAGACATGTCAACAAATGACCAGCACAGGTGTCTTGAGTGCTCCCAAGCCAGCAGTGTTGCGGAATGTGATCTGTTGGGGAAAATGGTGATATGCCAAGATGCTCAGGTATTATTATACAATAAGATGTACATGTAGGTGGTTGGCGGGTTCGTCTGGTGTGGTTTGCTCCTTCTTTCCTATCAATCATCTATTGTCCTTATTTCTCCTCCTCTTTTTTTATGTATACATCACGTTACTGTCTATGTCGTAAGTGCCATAAAACTCTTACATAAATACATTAATCATTAAGAGCATGAACACCTCAACTTCAGTCACAAATATGGGGGTGTGGACGAACATAAACAAACACATTTCAAACCTGTCCTCGCACTTAGCTTACACATCTAACTTTTGATTTAAAGTCAAACCTACTCCAGACACCACCTGTTCGAGACAATCACCTATTCAAACAACCTTTTCCCACTTCCCCCTTGAATTAAAAAAATATAATGACATTGCCTAAGACATTCACCTGTCTAAGTAACTAAGACAACCATTTTTCTCTTCAACACTGGATAGCCGTCTTGGACAATTTCGACTGTATTTCATTTAGTTACAGAGAGGATATTGTATAGTTATTATTTCTAAGCAATGACTTTCCTCTGCTTTGGGGAAAAAATAGCAGTAAATGGATTGAACAACAGAAACAAGGGAGAAAGGAAAAAAAAAGGACTTACAATTCTTTCAAGTTAAATCCACCTTTGATTATGCTTCAGGAAAAGTCAAAGCACAGGCACAAGTACTAGACAGAAATGAATCAAAAGGAAAGGATTTGTTTCATGCATACTTAGGTTAGCACAAGGGGTTCTTGACTGTTTTTGAAAAGACAGTCCAATCTGCACTTGTCTGGAAGAGGCCTGTGGATGTCCACATGGTAATGAAAGTTAAATTTTATGACGGTGCTTCATTTGAGAGCTGCACAACTGAGACAAGAATAATTGTATAGTAGCTTGAAGCTAAATTCTCTCAAGGTAGGAGGAACTGTGTTTGTTTTAGAAATTCAGTGTTTGATTTTTATCAGAATATGAGGAATGAATTTCTGGCGTGCAATGCATTTCTGCCCTCGTTTTTGTAAAATCAGAATTGAAAAAATGACAGAATTTTTATATTCTTTTAAACAGCATACATGTGTACTTTTGGATCGTAATTGATAATAAATGAAGGGTACAAGAATTAACGAGTGTATCTTATGTATTTCAGGATGCATGCAAAACAGTGGTTTCTCAGTTTGAAGATGGAACACTGGTCTCAAGAAAATGTACTTCGTATCACGTATGTCTGTCTTGTGTGATTGTTTGAAATTTGGTCCGTACCACTAAGACTGTGAAATAGAAAGTTTGGAGTTTTAATTGAACTTTTGAACATACTTTAATGTTACTGAGGTGGAAATCACTTAAACAGAAATCTGAGAGACAGCTGGATTTTCTTTGGTTTACCTGTATTTTTGGTTTAGAGAGATTGTTCAAATTGTGTGTACAGACTACAACGTAAAGTTGGGACGGCAAATTTCAATTTTGGAAAGTTTTTTTCTCTTCTATCTCTTTCACTTTCAGTTGCTGAAATTTGAGCTGCAGGGTATAAGCATTGTGCTTTCTCTTCGACATTGTCAGCTTGCTTAATCAATCTACTGAACTGTCGCACAGACTATATGCCAGAGTAGATCAGCACACTGTACTGTATTATGCTCTGCACAAAAGAAGTGAGAAGTCCCAATGCCAGTGACATTATGAAACACATCAAGTGTCATGCGCGTGTTCATGTGTCATCTTGTGAACTAGTTTCACAGAGACAATAGGCCATGACTCACCTAAAGCCGTGCAATATAGCCTACATTAACTATCCTAATGTCATTATACACAGTGTGTGTTGGCTTATTAATGTGTGTGATAAACATAGAGGCGAAATGTACACCGGTGAAGTCTTTTCCTGGCCTGCAATCAACACATGTGCCTTGTTGTGCTCTCTCTTTTGTTTTGTTACCTTGAAGTGCATAAGACTTGATGATTAGGAGGAATTAGACGATATAACCCTCACAGTCCTTTTTGGCATAGAAATGGAGCATTTGATCTAGGGCTATAATGTAGTTTTCTAATAAAGAAAAAGAAGAAAAAAAAATCAGGGAATCTGTTTTCTTTCAGATTACATGTACCACTATTTTTGGAGTTACCATTCATTTTTTATTTAACCCTATCCGTACGTCATGTTTTACTATCGTATCCATACGACGTGGAGAACTCTGTGCCACCACTTTCCAAAGAGGAAATTCACTCGTTAATCCGATCCGTACGCTTTGCATAGCAGTCTGTCAAAATTATTTTTTGAGAAATACTGAAAGTTTCAAAGAGATCTTTATACTAGAAGTATTCTAAAATGTGAAGAAAACAACCCTGGGGGTACAAAAAATTACCCCAGGGCGAACAGATAGGGTAAAGCAATATCCACTGTATTTTCTTTTCAGTTCAAATCACTTCTTTCAATGTTCGAGTTGCAACTTGCTAAATGAATCTCAAAGACCCAAGAAATTGGTAAGAAAATATGCAAGTTCAAGCATTTGTAAAACCATACTGTAAACTAAGACCATTAAGATGTTAAAAGGGGCAAATGCAAGAGGGGGACTGAGATAAAAATAATAGTGCCAGCATTTTACATACCATGAAAAGCTTTGCGTAGGTTTATCCTTACTGATACTAAAGCAGACAGGGTTTATTTTTTCTTTCATAGATGTGTGCTGCTTTTGAAGAAAATAACAGTGATGCATGTTGGGAAGATGAAGACATATTAGATGGAGACCAATGCACATTTTGCTGTCAAAGGGATGGATGTCACACACAGCAAAAGGGTAAAAATGTTTAACTTTGTATTCTGATTCAATACATCTTTAATCGCTGATATATTTATTATGATGTTTAACTTTTGAAATGAAGTATAGCTTTACCTTTGTACATATATCGGAATAGCTTAATTGGTGTATAAGTTTTTCACTGACTTCATGAGAGCAAGGCTTCTGGCTTCTTCAGATATTTGGGACCAATTTGGCCAAGGACCAGAGTAAAAATATACTAATTTCGAGTTTGAGGCCTTTTATTTTAAAAAATACCATTTATGTACTTCTCTTATTAATACAGTTTTGTTCACTCTTTAGCAATAAGCGAAATCGTTTAATCAATTTCCAATGAAATAAGTATCAGGCAAGCTTTTTGTGGATATAAGTTATAAGAGATTTACAATTGATAAATCAAAAAGAGGAAATCGACAGCTTGTTTGCCCTCACCATCTTCTATTATTGGGAAGTTGGCGGATACTCTGGTGTGGTTTACTTCTTCTTTCCTATCCAACATCTACTGTCTTTATATGTTTCTAGTAACACTTCTATACCTTGACACTTATATATGACCTATCTGTGATGCAAGTGCCGTAAGTCTCTTACTAAAATTAGACTCTATTATTCAATTAGAGCTGTAATGCAAAGGACTAAAAAACTATGTTTGCACATATTGTGAAAGTACAAATCAAGCAGAAGCAATTATGCTAACCACAGTTCAAACAGCAGGATTCGTTTTTTCTTTTTCTTCTGGTGTTCAGTTTGAGATATAATAAAAGTACAAGTATTCATAAAACCCCTCATAATTCAACAGCTAGGTTTTATAAACAAACCATGAACACCCCCCCCCCCCCCCCCAATTACCTCAAGCCCATATAAAAATGCTGGTCATAAAGGGTGCACATTTTTCACTAAAAATACCTGGAACACTCAATACTCAGGATAAATTGTGCCAATGATTCAACACCCATAAATATATTAATAACAATCATAATAATAATAATAATAGACTTTGATTGCAGAGCAAATCCTCAGTGGAGAGAAGACTCTTTTTTCTTTACAAAATGATATTTCCACAGCTCTTACATTATGAAACATTCTCAACTTCCTGTGAAGCATATATAGTAGAAGCTGCCATTCATAGGTACCCATATATACTCACATACTGACAAAATCTTTCGCAGTGTTAGCTATGTATGTATCTGGGTGAAGCAGAAAAAGTTTTTGTTGCTCACAAGAAACACAATGTCAGGACAAGACTGGGATTTGAATCCTCAACCTTACAGTTACAAGTCCAGCAGCCCAACTACTAGACTCCCAAAGCCCCATATTTACTTATTTAACAAGTTCCTTGTTCCACCCAAAAAACATAGGATATCTTTCTCTTAGAATGCACTTCTTTTTTTTTCACCTAAAATCTTTCTGACAATCAATGCTTCCAGGTTCCAAGATAGCAAAAACTACTCTTCCCCCAACACACCGCCTTCCCATGGCAGGGGAAAATGATGAAACGGATGACCACAATGATGCAGAGAATGATGCAGAGAATGATGATGGTGATGATGAGGATGACTATGATGGAGACCATAAACGAAAGCGAAGATCCCCATCAAGAGAAAGACATACACCAAAACCTAGAACACAAGAGAAACCAGCACCAGGACCTCACCATTCAAGACCAGCATCGAGACCCCACCCCTCAAAAGCCACATCAAGACCTCTCCACCCAAAACCAACATCCAAACCCCGCAATTCAAGACCCCATCCTTCAAGAGCAACTTCAAGACCCCACCCTTCAAAAGCAACTTCAAGACCCCATCATTCAAGGCCCCACCCCTCAAGAGCAACTTCAAGACCTCACCCTTCAAAAGCAACTTCAAGACCTCATCAATCGAGGCCCCATCCTTCAAAAGCAACTTCAAGACCCCATCCTTCAAGACCTCACCCTTCAAAAGCAACTTCAAGACCTCATCAATCGAGGCCCCATCCTTCAAAAGCAACTTCAAGACCCCACCCCTCAAGAGCAACTTCAAGACCTCACCCTTCAAAAGCAACTTCAAGACCTCATCATTCGAGGCCCCATCCTTCAAAAGCAACTTCAAGACCCCATCCTTCAAGAGCAACTTCAAGACCCCACCCTTCAAAAGCAACTTCAAGACCCCATCATTCAAGGCCCCACCCCTCAAGAGCAACTTCAAGACCTCACCCTTCAAAAGCAACTTCAAGACCTCATCAATCGAGGCCCCATCCTTCAAAAGCAACTTCAAGACCCCACCCCTCAAGAGCAACTTCAAGACCTCACCCTTCAAAAGCAACTTCAAGACCTCATCATTCGAGGCCCCATCCTTCAAAAGCAACTTCAAGACCCCATCCTTCAAGAGCAACTTCAAGACCCCACCCTTCAAAAGCAACTTCAAGGCCTCATCATTCAAAACAAACTTCAAAACCTCAACATTCAAGACCAACTTCCAGACCCCATGCAACAACCAAAAGACCCAGACCCCATGTGACCACCAAGAGGCCAAGACCCCACACAACCACAACGAGGGCTAGACCCCATGTGACCACAACGAGGGCTAGACCCCATGTGACCACTAAAAGGCCTAGACCCCATGTGACCACTAAAAGGCCTAGACCCCATGTGACCACTAAAAGGCCTAGACCCCATGTGACCACCAAGAGGCCTAGACCCCATGTGACTACCCGAAAACCAAGACCAACAACACAGCCCACCACTAGAAAACCAAGACCAGTGACGCATCCAACTACCCACAAACCTAGACCAACAGCGCCTCCTACCACTCGAAAACCCAGGGCAACAACTCTTCCTACAACCCAAAAACCTAGACCAGCTACACGTCTTACCTCTCCAAAACCCAGACCAACAGTGAAGCCTACAACCCAAAAACCTAGACCAGTGACACATCCCACCTCTCCAAAACCCAGACCAACAACAAAGCCTTCAACTCAAAAACCAAGAACAACACACCCTGTAACATCTCTGAAACCCACCCCTCAAATTTATCCTATAACTCGTGAACCAACACCTCGCTTGTCAAAAGAGCACACCCATGAAAAAAATAGTAAGTCTCATGATAAAAGCAGCACAACATCAGAGAGGCACAGTCATGGCAAAGACAATCACAGCCACAGCAAAGGAAAGTCCCACAGTCATAGCAAAGAAGGTCCCCACAGTCATAGCAAAGAAGGTCCCCACAGTCATAGCAAAGAAGAGCCCCACGGACCCCACAGTCATAGCAAAGAAGAGCCCCATGGACCACACAGTCATAGCAAAGAAAAACCCCATGGTCCCCACAGCCATAGCAAAGAAGAGCCCCATGGTCCCCACAGCCATAGCAAAGAAGAGCCCCATGGTCCCCACAGCCATAGCAAAGAAGAGCCCCATGGTCCCAAAAGCCATAGCAAAGAAGAGCCCCACAGTCATAGCAAAGAGCCCCACGGACCCCACAGTCATAGCAAAGAAGAGCCCCATGGACCACACAGTTACAGCAAAGAAGAGCCCCATGGACCCCACAGTCATAGCAAAGAAGAGCCCCATGGTCCCCACAGTCATAGTAAAGAAGAACCCAACAGCCATAGGAAAGAAGATCCCAACAGTCAAAGTGAAGAGAAAAACCCATCAAATACTACCATATCTTGCCCACATCATGAAGATCAATCAAAGTGTACAATTTGCAACACTTCAATCTTTGTACCAATTGTAAACATAGAAATAAACACAGGAACAACAGACTACACTGATTATGGATGGCTTTCAGATCCAGATGGCAATTTAGTTGATCCTTCCAAACAATCTGAAAGTCATAAAAACCAGCAGATTGGCTCTAATGTGAAACTGGAGTTTGATAATATGAAGAGTATTTCACAAACCATGACCCTTGGCTGTAAGGACTCAGGGTGTGCAACATCTCAGAGCAACAAGTTCTTCGAATTTCTTCAGCAGTTGATAACATCCCAGACTGCTCCGCGGTTAGCTGGAGGGAGCCCTAGCCTTGGAGAAAACAAGGGTGAAGAGGAAAACAGTATGAACATTAACCAAGGTAAAGCATTTTCTTAAGATTTTATCCCTGAAAATTTCACATAGATAAGGTTAAAAGGTGTAAAAATGAGTCTTAGTGAAACAGCACAGAACAGAAAGAAGCCTTACTTAAATTGTTATTATTTGAGGAAAAGAAAGCCTGGACTATTTAAATTATCTGTTGACGCTATTGTCTTGGAGCAGAAACTATTTCAGAATTGTCACTTTTACGTTCACAACTTGCTGCAACATCAAAAGAAAATAATTATTTGTTATAAGAATTTTACACAAGACACAAACTAAAAATATGCAAATCTTTCCAATCAGATGGAGAAACCAAATGTTACCAATGTAGTGATACAGAATGCACCTCTGAGACAATTGAGACCTGTGGGAAACAGCAGCCATACTGTCATTCAACTATACATCATGACGACTCTGGGCGAATGACAAGGAGAAAGAGGTAAACTGAATTATGTTACAATAATAAAATAAGACATTTTATACCATACCATGCAAATTTTACTTTATCTTCCAAGCCACAGAAGCACAAAATACAATCTGAACTGGAATCTGCCTGAACTGAACAAGTTTAATTTGAAAACAGCAGTAAATCTAAATAAAATAAAATCCACAGTTTTAAAAAATCTATTTGAGCAACCTCTCCACACCAGAAACCCGCCTAAACCAAAGGAAATCCGGCGGTCCCGTAGATATCAATTTAAGTGAACTCCACTGCAGTGACTTCTAATTTTCAAAACGACTCTTGTAATGGTTGGAAGTTTTCTGCATATGTATCCATAGACCACTGACAAAAAACAAAAAATGCAACCCAAAATGGAAAGCATTGTTTAACACAGAATGATCATCAAAATGGCACACACACAGCAGGTTCATACTCCTGTCCCTTTTTTCTTTGTTGACAGTTGTGCCGATGGTACCTTTTGTCGGAGAGAATGGCTTGGCAAAACGGCTGCCATTAATGACTGCTTCTTCCTGAGCGATAACCCCCTGGAACAAAACCCACTGGTGAACTGCACCTTGTGCTGTGAAGGACATCTCTGCAACAGGAGGTTTTTGCCAGACTTCAGCACTTTGATGAATTGATTCGTTCATAGATAATGGTGCACTGATACACACATACAAAAATATAATAATCATATCTGAAGAGGAGCAATAAAACTTTTTCCCTAGATCTGCAGTTTGAGATATTTGCTGTGTGTGAAGATTGTTGAGGAGGTCTGATCATGAAGCTACGTGTTGAGCATAATAATTCCACAGATGATGTTGATGAAGGCTGAAGGGTATATAAAGAATAAAACCTGTATTAGTTTTAAAAATTAAAGCCTTTTCTTTCTCTTCATTAAGTATACAACAAGCAGACTGCATGTGATTTTGGAACACCATGTGCCAGTAGGTAGGTGTTTCATATCCCCATCGACACAATTTAGATCATAATATAAGAGGAAGGCTTCTGGCCCTGTCTATCAAGGCCAACACCGGTAGAAAGGCTGAGGTATCCAATGAAAATTTCCTCTCCACTCAGGAATTGAAACAGGTCTCCCATGCACAACAGCGAAGCATCTAACGGCTACACTACAGACGCCGGTCCGTGCGCCTGTCAAAAGACAAATTTTATTCAAAGTTAACAACAATGACAATAATTTGTGAGACATCAAACAAAGCAAGATAAAAAAAATACATGCTTTTGCCATACCTTACTGTAACGATATGGAACCCTGCCATCCATTTTTTTTTTTTTTTCCAAATGAAAGTCTTAATCGGCAAATGAAATACTAATCTTGCTCTTCACTGGTAAAAGTTAAGAAAGCATTTGCACTCGAAAATATAAGGAACCCTGGGATCCTCACACTATTCATTCCTCTGCTCGGATCCACACATTTGCTGAGACAAATTGGAATTGCCTCTGTGTGAGCAGATCCAGAAGTGGTTCCCAAGACCTTAAGCATTCTCTAAATAGTCTGAGAAAATAACAATTCAAAAAGCCAAAAAACATAAACACTGTCAACTTTCTACCAAGAACGGAAAGAACAATATTTGAGCACAAATGAGGATCACAGTTCCTGAACTTCAAACTTTCCAGATCACAGGGTTGTGTTGAAGTCAGCAGGGAAATAAGCAGCCATATAGGAAAAACTGAACTGATGCAAAGCATACAACAATTCCTCCGTACATGACTGTAACCACCCTGCAAAATCCTTTTCTCTCCTCAAGGAAGATCTGTTGGACCAGTTCATAACCAATCCAAGTTAATCATATTCACATCACTACTCAACCAACTGCTGAAAAATAGACACAACAGAAACAAAACTGAATACCTCACAACTTGGAAATGAAGATGAGGCTATAGGTACACAAAACAAGACATAACAATAAAATTACAATGACAGTACGTGACAAGAGTGTAGCAATGGGAAAAAACAGGATAACTGACAAAGTGTCGCAAAGGAAGACAGGCAGAAAGTAATACCTTCACCTGCAGTCCTCCCTGTTGACTCTTAAACAGCTGTACATGTACCTAATTAATACCACATAGAGACTTAGTTGAGATGTACGAGAGTTAACAAAAGAAGAAACAATTGTTAACAAGTAAAACAGGTTGGTCCCAATTTCATTGCAACTTGCAGATTAAAAAAAAATCCCAACCAACCTAGCTATTGGTAACTTTGAGTAAAAATATTAATACAGTAGTCGCTGCCTAAGATCCCCGTGCTCGGGAGCAAGGAAATGCGGGATCTTAGGCGAACCGGGATCTTAACCGACGAACCCAGGGAAGAATCTATGGTGACCCATGTTAAGGCTCACAATCGTGAATGTGATCACATACACGTTGTTAAACTCTATGAAGCGATGCAATGTTTGCTCCAGACGGGATCACACCGAGGTGTGAACTGACCGACTCGTTTGTTTTCCCTACGAATCGCACTCACCGGGCTCGTAAGCGGTGGGATCTTAGGCGGAGACTACTGTAGTACAAGTATGTCAATGTGAAGATGGCTGCACCAGCACGAAAGAACACAAATCCACAAAAACAGTAACATACTCAATACAATCAATTTGTTTCACTCTATGTATGTAGTGTATGTCACTCAGTTTAATCCTCGCTAATTTTCCATTGTTCTTTCTTGATTTGACTTGCTTTGGAATGACGGAATAGAAATCATTCTGTGACTTTTGAAACCTGAAGAAAAAAATGATATATTTGGAATTTAACTTGAAAACTAAAGCGGGAAGAGAAAAACATTAATATAAAAGTAAAAGAAAACGAAGAACACTGTAACATAGCCCATTTGGCTTCTTCAATCATAATTCTTCTCGGGGGACATTCTGATACATGATAATACTCTCTTTTCTCATCTGAATGGAGACACAATAGCTGCATTTAAATTTAAAATACTTTACACTTTTTGAGTCTACGAGTACCATAGCATAAAATTGATAAAGAATTTA